AGGATGGTTAGTGTCACAGTAAAGATACCAGTTAACCTGGGGGTGGAAAGGGTCACAGTAAAGATATCAGCTAACCTGGGGGTGGAAAGGGTCACAGTAATGATACCAGCTAACCTGGAGGATGGTTAGTGTCACAGTAAAGATACCAGTTAACCTGGGGGTGGAAAGGGTCACAGTAAAGATATCAGCTAACCTGGGGGTGGAAAGGGTCACAGTAATGATATCAGCTAACCTGGAGGATGGTAAGTGTCACAGTAAAGATACCAGCTAACCCGGGGGTGGAAAGGGTCACAGTAAAGATACCAGTTAACCTGGAGGATGGTTAGTGTCACAGTAAAGATACCAGCTAACCTGGGGGTGGAAAGGGTCACAGTAAAGATATCAGTTAACCTGGAGGATGGTTAGTGTCACAGTAAAGATACCAGCTAACCCGGGGGTGGAAAGGGTCACAGTAAAGATATCAGTTAACCTGGAGGATGGTAAGTGTCACAGTAATGATATCAGCTAACCTGGAGGATGGAAAAGGTCACAGTAAAGATATCAGTTAACCTGGAGGATGGTTAGTGTCACAGTAAAGATACCAGTTAATCTGGAGGATGGTTAGTGTCACAGTAATGATATCAGCTAACCTGGGGAGGAGGGGGGAGGTAAGTGTCACGGTAAGGATATCAGTTAACCAGCTAACCTTTGGGGTTGAAAGTGTCACAGTAAGGATACCAGTTAACCTGGAGGATGGTAAGTGTCACAGTCATGATACCAGTTAACCTGCAGGATGGAAAGGGTCACAGTAAAGATATCAATTAACCTGCAGGATGGAAAGGGTCACAGTAAAGATATCAATTAACCTGCAGGATGGAAAGGGTCACAGTAAAGATATCAATTAACCTGGAGGATGGTTAGTGTCACAGTAAAGATACCAGTTAACCTGGAGGATGGTTAGTGTCACAGTAATGATATCAGCTAACCTGGGGGTGGAAAGGGTCACAGTAAAGATATCAATTAACCTGGAGGATGGTTAGTGTCACAGTAATGATATCAGCTAACCTGGGGTGGAAAGGGTCACGGTGAAGATATTAGGTAACCTGGAGGATGGTAAGTGTCACAGTCATGATATCAGCTAACCTGCAGGATGGAAAAGGTCACAGTAAAGATATCAATTAACCTGGAGGATGGTTAGTGTCACAGTAAAGATACCAGTTAACCTGGAGGATGGTTAGTGTCACAGTAATGATATCAGCTAACCTGGGGGTGGAAAGGGTCACAGTAAAGATATCAATTAACCTGGAGGATGGTTAGTGTCACTGTAAAGATACCAGTTAATCTGTGGGATGGTTAGTGTCACAGTAATGATATCAGCTAACCATTGAGGATTGAAATGGTCACAGTAAAGATATCAGCTAACCTGGGGGTGGAAAGGATCACAGTAAAGATATCAGTTAACCACCTGGGGGATGGTGAGTGTAACAGTAAGGATACCAGTTAATCTGTGGGATGGAAAGGATCACAGTAAAGATATCAGCTAACCTAGAGGATGGTTAGTGTCACAGTAAAGATATCAGTTAACCTGGAGGATGGTTAGTGTCACAGTAAAGATATCAGCTAACCTGGGGGATGGTAAGTGTCACAGTAAGGATACCAGTTAACCAGTTGACTAGCTAACCTAGAGGGAGGAAGTGTCACAGTAAGGATACCAGTTAACCAGCTAACCTTAGGGGTTGAAATAGTCACAGTATGGATACCAGTTAACCTGGAGGATGGAAAGGGTCACAGTGTGGATACAAGCTAACATGGAGGATGGAAAGCGTCACAGTAAAGATACCAGCTAAGCTGGAGGATGTAAATGGATACCATTTCTCCAGCTACTCTGGAGGTTTGAAAGCATCAGCTTAATCTAGAATGTTTAATGGATTACGGTAAAAGTATCTACTAATCTATAGGGTATAAATGGATAGAAAATCTGTTACTAAATAAGAGAGCGTGTAAAGACTTAGAGAGTGCTTCAGATCGGCAGTAGAACTATCAATGCCCAGATATATGTTCGTGTCCGTTACCACAATCCTAATACCTTACTCCATGCTGAGATTGCAATATTAATCATATATTAAGAATAGAAGTTTATTTGCTAATCAAAGCGTTCAAACATAAATTTACAATCAAACAAATCGTGCAAAACAGGAAAAGAAAACAAACAAACAAGCTATATATTGCCTGTGATTAAGCATACTGCCTTTTATCTTAAATGATCACATACATAATATATATTAATATAATATAAACCAATAACATTTAAAATCCGACTGGTATTGTTTATCAAGCAATTACTTCAATATGTTACAGATGAAAAGATAAACAAGCTTCCAATCTATGTTATATTATTATTAAGCTTTCAGGTTCTAATCGTTTGCTGGAATACAGATCTACTTAAAATATTGAACATCGGAAAGCGTCGATGCCGAAGAATTACACCCATGACCCAAACAGTATGTCACAAGTAAATGAATGAATAGTTTATATTTTTCATTATCCGGTCTGAAAATATGTATCGGAATATTAAGATCATCCAGTCGGATGTTTCAACTCATTTCTTAAAACAGAAGGTACCATAACGAGGTAGACCCAAGGTACCCATGAAGTAAAATACAGCGTTAATATTTAGTTAGTTAGTTAATAACCGTGTTATGTAACTCTGGAACTATTAAAGACTTTTAGGAATGTATTGAGTATGTTTTACTACTACATATGGAAGTGTTCCCGATATTGCCCGCCTAAAATTCGGTTAAGCCCCTATTTCATTGACTTACATAGTGCACAAAGTTTTAAACATGCACCAATTTGATCTTACCTTATTTGGGCATATCAGATCGCCTGCTAAATCCGATGTTTGCACACTGTACTCAACAATATGGAACTACTTTACAGAGAGAATATTCCAATGATGCCTGGAAGTCGTGAGAAATGGCACGATCTCGACTCTAATGCCATCTCATTATAGTCGTCTGCTCTCGTCAATATTGCCGGTAAAGTGACGTCACGTGTCCACTCCAATTCTATTCTCAATATTGATTTTTTCTATTGGATTTAAACCGTTGTGTTGACAGTATTGTCGTTATGAGACATATTCAATTATTGTGGTCTGAATTGGGATTATATTAAAGAGTTCTTTCCCATTAAATTTAATCTTACTGAATTGCGAGTTGCATTGTCGTTTACATGACGATTAGGTTTCGTAGGTTCGAATCCATATCTTATGTCAGTGTCGGTGTTTCCTTGAGTTGGCCCGGTGTAGGCTTTCAGCCTTTCAGACACTGCTCGCGATTGTCGGAGAAACAGATAGGTATAGGTATTTACCGGCCCGACCACATTATTTATCAGAATCGCATCATACTAAAAAATTTAGAACTAAAATCTTAATCTTCCAGAGAAAAGTGTCCAAGCAATACCTAACAATATGAGATAAAGGTTATCTTCCCTTGAACTTTTAGTGAAATGGGTTTATCTATTGACTGCTTATAACGTTAATCCGTAGTTCAGATTACCAAAACCGTTTATAATCACGCTTGTACTATAGCTTCGATTATCAAGTAACTATTGATTATAATGAATAACTAATGAAGCGATTTATTTACTCGTATCCTAGCAACAAATACAAGTTTTGAAGAGTAGATCGTATTATACTTAATAAGAAAAATGGCGATTCAATAGTAAACACTGGATTTAAATTGACGAGGAAAGGTAGGTCATTTGCCGCTATTGTAATTTTTGATTGAGTACAATTTGAAACCTCAAGTTCACTATAGCTGTGTGGTATGGATTTGGTACATATTGGTCAACACAAAGAGAAGCTTCTTCGGGGACCAAAGCTTATTATTTCAAGTTTTTTCCTCTTAATGTTGGTATTTTCATAATGATTGAAAGACAATAAATTACTATTCAAAAGAAGACACCGACACGGGAGTAAAATACTTTTTGAGGGCATCAGGGATCAACTTGTAAAATGCTTGCTCGCTAAAGGTGCCAAGGTCTCCACCCAAGCATTTGTTGAGATGGAATATTTGGTTCAGTCAACCTGAATTTCCATTATCAGTAAAGCAAAACTCCATTTATTTTCAAAATTCATTATCGTGTATATCTTATTTTTACCTATACATAAATATGTGTGTCAATGGATTTTGATTATGAAATGAATATTAGGAGGGACTTTAAGAGTACAATACATTCTAGAATATGAGTCTGTATGGATTATAAACACCTTATTTCTTAAACACAACGTTTCGACAAGATTCCACTGGTCGTTATCAAGTGTACAAAACACCAATCGCCTATCAAACAAAATACTTTAATTATGTTGTATTAACACTTTATTTTTCGATTTTTTTTATAGAAGTTATTAACCTTTACTGAGATCACAACCATTTGAAAGACAAGATCACAAACAGCCATTATGGAGCAAGAAGCACACAATAGGCTTATGCAGGTGTATAAAATGAACATAACAGATCGCCTTGAAAGATGGCGAGAAAACAAACAAGATACAACCACTCAAGCCAATATCATTGATTATACAAATGACGTATTCTTCGCTATGAGGCATCACTCAAATGAATGGATCCAAAAACATCGTACTATTCTGTGCGAGTATATAGAAACGCAGAAAGACATTATTACTGTAATTTGTGAAGGAGCAATGACCATTCCGGAACCGATTGCGTCAAGTCCGTTCGTCCAGGCTGCCTTGT